AAAAATATAGATGATAATTTTTTTATTCAAAAAAATTTAAGCAATTGGGAAAAATTTTGTTGATAATAAAAAATTTAAATAACAAAAACTATGATATATTAGATAATAAAAGTATAAAATATAAAATTTGATATATTGGATAAAATTTTATAAATAGTTGAATATATATCAATGCTAAAAATTAACATGATTACTTATTCAATCTAATATTAAAAAATTAATTTCTAATTATTATTATTATTTTAAATAATAATTATATTTTTAATGAATTACAAATATATTTTAAATAAAATGATAATAGATTAAACTTAGGATCATATGATTGAGAAACATTTTACCTTTGAAATCACTTTTAAAAGCTAATCCTTCTACATCCATCTAATTAAGTTTTAATAATGTATCATAAATACTTTTAAGATGTCTTTTTATTTTCTTATTTTTTTTCAAACAATATCCCCTATTTTAAAAATGAGAAAGTACTTCTCAAAAGTTACAAGCACATTACCCAAACACATCATTACTTCTTCAAAGGATAAACGTGTTGCAAGCACTATAGCTTTTGGGGAGGGAAATTTTTAAAATTAATATATATATTAAATAATTTTTATTGCTATATTTTTGCCAATGTAATTTTATTTGCTACAGTAATAATGTGATATTCTAAAAAGTCAAACAAAATATAAAGTGACACAAATCTAAATATTTATTTTAAGAAAAAAATTATATAAAATACTTTAAAAATTACTTGTTTTACATATACCCAAACTAATCTCAACTTGCATTGTATATATATAAAAAAATGTATTTATACAAACGCTCAACTCTCACAATTATCAATATATGATTTCACAAAAAATTTAATTAGAAAAAAATTTATAATGTAAATATTAAGTATCACTATTGTTTTTAGAGTTGAAGATTTAATAAATAACAAAAAAATAGTAATAAGTTAATAAATCATATATTCTATTTTTATTTAAATATTTCAATAAAAAACATTATATATAAATATTGGATGGAGAATATATATATATATATATATAAAACCTATGGTCGAGTAGTGTAAAACAACATATTTGAAAATTTCCCCTCCCGTCTTCATTCTTTTGGTGCGATCAGAAATGAGAGCGAGAGAGAGAAGAGAGGAGAGAGAGAGAGAGAGAGAGAGAGAGAGAGAGAGAGAGCCCAAAACCCTTCATCTTCTTCCATCGCTCTCCAGTCTACCTCTATGGTCGAGTTTGTCGTCGGCTAGCGTGGGTACATCGAAGTCTTCCCCTAGCTTTTTCCTTGTTTCGTGCTGTAGCAAGAAGGAGAGAGGGAGAGAGCTCGACTTTTTTCCCCCTTCCTTTATTCCTTTCTTCATCGTCGTGTTTACAATCACCACTGGTGATTGTGATGTGTTCGTTGTTGATGCTAGTGGCCAAGCTCATGATTCTTCCTTCTCTTCCCCTACCTCACGCTGTCTACCATAGCCGACATCTTCTTCCCTTGTATTTTGTGTCGGTGTTTTTTGCATGTGACAGGGAAAGTTCGAATCCTTCAATCCATTTCCTTCATTGCTTCTTGGGGAGTTCAAGCCTCATTCTCTCTAACTTGCCTCAATTTTGTGTGAATTTTGTGATTTGGGTAATTACTGGAATTTCTATTTCTTCCCTTTTGAATCATTTAATGTGCGTGCAAAGGAGCGATTATTGTTCAAACAAACTTCAATTGGAAACTTGGAAGCTCACTCTAGTTAAGTAATGATGCCTCAAGTACTTTGGTTTTTGTAGGAAGGAAATTGATTTAGTTGTGGTTCTTTTTAAGATTTAAATTGAGTTTTGATAAGGAATGAAATTGGGAAGCTTGGTACAATAGTTTGAATAGTGATGCATGCAATGCGTTTGATAAAATGTGTAATAGAACAAATTTTAATTTATAGAGTGATGGAAATTAAAGGACAAGTCAAGATTCAATATTTAGTATTTTGATTCTTTCAATTATGAGATTATTCTAATTAGTATTTTTTTTCGTGAGATAACATATCATGAATTTTGAATTATTGTGAGCTATTATTCAGTTGTCCTATATCATAATGTCAAATGAATGTGATAAACACATCATTAATTATTTTCTATAATGAAAATTGTTGGGAAAGAGGTTTAAAGAGTAAGATGTTGTAATATGGTTTGGTTTTGAATTCACACTAGACTTTGATTATTGTAAGGAAGGAATGATATATTGGATTGAGCAATTGAGTGTGATTATTGTACTAATGATTAGGAAAAAAAAAAAAGCTAATTCTTGCACATCACTTAAGTTTTAGTGTTCCCTTCATTCATATTTTTTTTTCCCCAAATAATTTAGACCTATATTAGGGACAAAGGAAGTATAATTGTAAAGGAAAGAGATCCACTACTAGAAAAATAAAAATTAGTGAAAGAATTTAGTGAGAGATTATCTACTCCTCTCTAAAATACTAAATTAATGAAGACATTAGCGAGAGATATTATTTCATAGCTTGACTTAGAATTAAAGAGAAAAATAGTGAGTAACTGTCAATCACTCTTTAAAATAAGATAATTAGCAAAGAAAATAGTGAAGGATTGTCAATCCCTCTCTAAAATAAGATAATTAGCTAGAAAAATAGTGAAAAACTATCAATCCTTTTCTAAAATAAGATAACTAGTGAGAAAAATAGTGAGAGATTGTCAATTCCTCTTTAAAATAAGATAATTAGTGAGGGATTCTATCCCTAGCTAATTACTAAAAAAAAAATTAACTTTTGGTAATGACCTTTAATTATATATTTAATTATTTTAATTTAAAAATAAAAATTAAATTTAAAAATTAACTAAAATATTTATAATAAAATTATTGATATTTAATATTTGTTTATTTTAAGTTCATTTTTATTAATAAAATAATATTTTATTAAAAATATAATATAAATAATAATTTAAATAAAATTTAAATATTTTTAACATATTAATAATTGAAAATAAAATTTAATATGTACGTGTATTTTTATAATATATTATTTGATATATTTGTGTAGTTAAATAATATATGTTTAATTTTTCATATAATGACTACATGTGCTTTTTAATTTAATTGACAAAGAAGGAAAGTATAAGATTTGAAAGATAGGAAGTCAATAGTTATATTCAATTACACATATATAACAATATATATATATTTAAGTTTTGTTCACCAATTTTTTATGATATAAAATTATTAGTTATTATGTCTATGATAAATATTTAACAATTTCTTCTCAATATAAATTATCAGTAAATTGGTAAAAATTTTATCATCCCTATGAGAATTAAATAACTTAAATATATCATTGAAGTTCTATTTAATGTAATAAACTTTATTACTTACTTATTGAATTTATTATTTAATTCTTTCAATTGATAATCATAGTAAATAAATATATCAGTACATTAATAATGCTTAATTATTATAAATCTTTATGTCAATGAGATAGAATTATATTAGAGCAAAAATTATTCATATCATAAATTTCAATAGCTTGATTATTAAAAAAATCTAGAACATCTTCAAACCTCTTAACTTTTGGACAAGTAATTTTAGATATCAGGAATATAACATTTAATATATGTTAGAATTTTTTGTTACAATGCTTAACAAAATCTGTTAATAATAATTCTCATAATTTCTTTCATTAAATATAAAATGAAAGAAAAATAAAATGATATCAATATTTTAAGAGCATGTGTAGCATTATTTTGTTAAAAATAAGTAAATGATATAACAACTATATCTTCAAATTACTGAAATAAAAAATTACATATAAAATTTGAATGAAAATTTCATCTAGCGTTCTATAACTTTTATAATGTGCTAACTTATAAAAGTAAAAATATATAAACCCTTATGTTAGGAGGGTTGTGTCCCTTACTGATCCCCCCTCTCTCCATCCTTGTGCTCATCCATTTCAACTAATACAAGTGTAAATTTTAAAAATAATTGCAAAAAATAATGTCATATTTTTGGACAAGCTTGGCTGAAAAAATGCATGCGCGAGAATTTGGAGCAGAGGGGGTGACAAATTTTATGCATCAATCCATATAATATGTAAATTTTCGACCAAAAAATTGTAATATATAAATTATTATAACCTATCACCATTTATGGTTTATTTAATAATATAATTTAATATAAAGTCCAACTATTTATCATTATTTACCTCGGAAGCAATTTTTACACTCTTAATTGCCAAACTTTCATTCATTGTGAAGTAACGGAACTTGCTTTCCCAATCCAACCCCTCAAACACCAGAAAGGACTGAGCTCGCGCGGCCACCACCAACTTCTACAGCTACAGACACAGGCTTCGTATATGTACAAGGCGGAACTATATGTATATTTAATTTTTAAAAATATAATTTTATTAGTTAAAATATGTTATTATATGATAATTATTAGAAGTATAATTACATAAGTATTTCAAGAAATTTGAAAAAAAATACAAGATACCATATATCAAAATAACTAAATATAAATATATTGTTTTTATTAAAGTATATTCCCTCTAATCCAATTTATTAGTCACTCTCAACATTTTCACTGGAGTGAAAAAAAAACTTTAAATTTTATTAATTCTATATAAATAGGATCAAACAAGTATTCTCCTTTTACTCTATAGATAGGATCAAAGAAGTACAAATAAAAGAAATATATACATATTGTATTATATACACATAATGCCTATAAGTATATTTATATAAATAACTAGGATGCAGTGGCTTCGTTTTAATTAAAAAAAAAAATTAGGATTCATAATGACCTTTTTAATGGGAGGGGGGTTGCATCAGACGCTACCATATAGTGTTTCACAGGACCAGCATAGGTCTGCCCCTGTATATATATATATATATATATCATAGAGTGTGTGAGTGAGTTAGAAAACAAGTTTTCCCACAAATCTATATTCATTATTTAAGAAATTAAAAATATAATTGACTGCCAGATTATTTTAGTTAGTTTTAACGAAAGGCAAATAGGATATTTATAATCTAACCAAAGTTCAAGGGCGTTGAATAAAGTATATTCAAAATGGTACACCCACAATAATCACCACCACCCAATTCATTTTCCTTTTTTCTCCTTCTACTGTACTTAGTCTTACCTAATTAGCTTCAATAAAGATAGGCATTGTGGGTTTTATGTTGTCTGATGATCCCTTGTTGCGGAGCAAAAGAACTACCTCAGACATTGTTGGCCTTAATTCAGCAGATGCTTGTGTACAAGACAAACCGATTTCTATAACTTTTTTCACTTCTCTGCATCAAAATCATTTGGGTCCAAGGTCTCATCGATCAACTCTAAGTGTGTGCCTCTTTCATATAGTCTCCAAGCCTGCCAAGTTTGAGATTAAAGCCAAATTAAATGGAGTACGAGAAATAGCTATGGAAAAGGAGTAAGTTAAGCTAAGTAAGTTAAAATAAAAAAAAATCATACATTTAAATTATCTAAGAAAGTTATCTAATATAAATAAAGAAAAAAACTGCCTTTTACGTGGCCATGGCAATTTTTCTCACCTTCAGTAGGAGGAATTCACCTTCAGCATCACTGTCAATCTTTAGTTCATTATTTCTTTTACCACTTATGATTTCTAAAACTACAACACCAAAGCTATAGATATCAGCTTTCTCTGATAATTGACCATGAATCACATATTCTGGGGCTGCATATCCACTAACAAAAACACATAATAATTATAACGTAGTTCATCAGAGTAATAGCTCATATTAGCTGCATAAATGCAAAATCAATTATTATGACTCACAATGTTCCTACAACTTTTGTGCTGAGATGAGATTTTTCGTTGGGTAAAAGTCTTGCCAAGCCAAAATCAGAAACCTTAGGTTGTAGATCTTCATCTAAGAGGATGTTGTTAGTCTTTATATCTCTGTGTATAATACGAACATGAAATTCTTCATGGAGATATGACAAACCTCTTGCTGTTCCTAAAATTATATTATACCGCTGCTTCCAGTCAAGAGAACCTTTCATTTGGCCTATTTCTCAAGTTAATGCATTATGAAGGTTAGAGGAAAAAATAGAGATGAAACATAAAAAAGATCTTCAATAAAATATGTCCTCATGCCATAATATTATTAAGATGTACAACAGCTAATGCTTAAAGAACTATAGGTAAAAGCTTTGTAGGTTGATAAAAGTGAAGATATACATACCAAATAAGAATCTATCCAAACTGGTGTTTTTCATGTATTCATAGACAAGTATTCTCTCACTGCCTTTACTGCAACATCCAAGAAGTTGAACAAGATTACGATGATGAACATTACTTATAAGCTTCACTTCACTCTCAAATTCTTCCTCCACTCTCTTGGAGTAGCATAAAGTTAATTTCTTGACAGCAACAACTTTTCCATTTTTTAAAGTGCCCTGGTCATGATGATTAAGAATTTCAACCACAAAATGTTATTAGAAGTTGGAAATCTGAACTTTTAATATAGAAACATCCTTGCTTTGGAACATGATCCAGCAAAATATTGGAGATCAAAATATATATAGTTACCTTATATACAACACCAAATCCTCCTTCTCCAAGTTTATTTTCTACACTGAAGTTTTTTGTTGCAAACCTCAAATCCCCATAGCTGTAATTAACTGGGCGGCCTATCAAATAGCTGCTCTCTCCAATGATATCTCCATTAGCTAAGAAAAAGATATATTAATCAGTCTTATCATAAATTATAAAATCCAGTCAGGATTCCTTCAAAGAAAAAGTCCGTTACTTTTTAGTTTTTACTTGGAGGGAAAAAAGTGAAAAATCAAGACATCCCATTAAATATTTACAAACTGATATATATATTAGATGAATACTTTTTTAGTTGATTTAATTTACCGTTAGAAACTCTCTCACGCCTTTTTGATCGTCTAATATAAGCCAATAGTGCAAGGAGGATAAGCACAAAAGCTGCCCCTCCAACAATGGCACCAATAATTGTCCCCTTCTTGCTTGAACCTGCAACAGAGGAAAACAGAGAAGGAATATATATATATATATATATATATAATATCACACACGCACAACACTTATTTAAAAGTTAAAATAATAAATAATCATGTTAAAATTTATCATGCACGTAATATATAACAATGTCTAGCATGTGATTCACAATTAGACAAAAATAAAGCAAATTGTTGTGTTGTATTTGATCTTTGAATGAAAAATGTTACCATACCTCGTATGGCTAAAGGAGTGATAATAATAGGCTGGTCATCAGGAAAGAAGCGAGTGGTGGAGTATCTCATGAAACAGCCATCTACATAAGCCCTACCATTTGAACCGGGAAGACAAGTCTGCATAGTGTTGTAACCTTGCATCAAGCAAATCTCGCACTCACTCTGTGAGAGACTTTGTATACATTGAGCATAGGCATAGATGGTTGGTCCATTATTAGGCACTTGAGTCTTTGCAGCTGCCTGGAAACCAGTGCCGTTGGGTGTTGTTGTTTGAACATTCATTAAGAGTTGTTGAGCAGCTGAAGTAAATCCTGTGGCTTCTTCTAGAGTCTGTTCCCCACACAATGCAGGATTTCCAATACCCTTTGGCTCGTCCCTAAAATCGGTATCCTCATACCTCAACACGTGGCAAAGTATTCCCCCATATCAATTTTTAGCTCAATATGGATTACATATAGCTAATAGTACATGTATGTGCTTTTTCTCAGAACTAGTAGTTTATTTAGACCGAACTTATTTTGATCGGGTTTAAAAATAGTTCAACATATAAAAAGCCTACATAATCAAGTCTGGTTATTAGATCTTGGGTTTAGCCTTGAATTAGCAGCTCTTGTTTTTCTCAGAGGATGAATTTTTACCTTTGTGTTGCTTGGAAATCTTTGTTGATGAGTTATGAGATTGCACAAGAGAAAATTGTTAAGTAGGTAAATTGACTATAATATTAGTTCTAACTATTTATGATTATTACATTACTATGACACTACAATTTAAGTTACGAAGATAGATTCATAGAGTAATTTTAGAAGGCTACCTTTAATATTTTTTTTAAAAAAAATGTTATCCACGTGTATTTTTTATTTCAAGGTCATTTGAAACTTTTAGAATTATATAATAGTACTAACAAGTACTCTCTTCGTTAAAAAATGTAAAATATTTTTAACTGAATCTCACTCTCCAATAAAGTAGTTACCTATTTTTAAACTAATTATATTTTTTCATATTTACCTCTATTAAATATCTTATAATAAATATAAAGTCATTATTAATAAGGGCACTTTGAAAAAAAAGATAATAATTATATCTCAAAAAAATTATAAATGTTTTATATTTTTTAACATATATCTTCTTAACAAATGTTTTACATTAAAAATAGAGAAAGTATATGATACCTTTGGCAAGATATGAGACCGGATCGTCTCCAGCAGGTCTCTGCTCTCCCAATCCTCTGTTGGATCGACCATCTGGTCCACAGCAAAATATATTAAATAGCCGAACTAAAAACAAACGAAGGCACTTTCATACATCGATGGCTTGAAAATCAAAAGCCCAACGCTACATGTATTGCTATCTCCATTATTCTTCATTATAAGTCATATTAGTCATAGGAGTCTTTAATTTGTATCCAAAATACTTCCTTTGGCCTGAATATAAGATCGATTTGTAAGTTTTGATTTAGTCCTCAACATGAGGTCGCTTTTTCTCTTATCTTCTATATATATATATATATATTAAACTTTTCTTTACCATAACACCCCTATTCATATCTTAATTTGAATAATTAGAAAATCATAATAAATACAGTACCACATAACATTTTATATAAGAATATTATTCCGGTCATATTACTAATTTTCTTAACAACATGGTTAAGGGGGAAAAAACATTTCAAACGAAGTAATAAGAAAGTAGCCGTACCTGAGGAAGCAGCCGTCGTAGATGATACGGGCAAAGCTAGTCCCGGCGGAGCAGTTGAGGATTTCAGCGGCAGCATCGGTGAAGCAGGCGACGCAGTCGGCGACGGAGAGGTAGTTTCTGCATAAAAAGAGAGCATAAAAGGGGAGGCTTGTGTCGGAAGGCTCCCACTGCTCTGAGGTGGCCAAGGACATTCCCAGGTTCGCCACCTGATTTCTGAGGTCACGAAGAGCTGCGCTTACGCTGTTATTGAAGGATTTATTAGCATCATATTCATATCTGTCATATTGGTAGCAGTCACGTCTGAGAAGATAGGTCTGGGGGTCCGAAACGACGCCGCGGAGGGAGCAGAATATGAAGAAGGTAATAAATAAGGGAAGAAGGAGAGTAATAGGTTGACGCATAGTTCTGTAAAGTTTGGTTGTGAGATATGTGAAGAAGATGAAGAAAGAGAGGATGTCAAGTGAAGTGGCCAATAATAAACAAATGAAGGGTTCTGTTCTATTTCGATATGATCGATCACTCATAAGGGGGTTGAATGTTCCACGCGGGTGATGCTCTGCAATTCGTCGAAATTTGGTCGTCTTTTCTGATAATTGAAGTATTAAACCACTGAGTACTGACTTAGCTAGTAGGGCCTAGCTTGAATTTTGAAGTTTTTTTTTTATTTTTTTTATTGGTGAAACTGAGAATCGACACATGTCAGAAGTCAACTTTTTATTCCCTTGATTTCCTCTGGGCAAGCATTATTCATCCCTTTCATGGAGGCGCCATTTTTGACCGAATGATGACGGACTGATGATAGAGGCCAAATGACTGCCGAAGCTCCATAATGAATATATATATATATATATATATATATATTTATACTTCTAAAAGTCTGGTGGGAGATGTTAATTAGTAAATTGTCATCCAAAAGTTGGTATTTCAAGCTTAGCCTAACATGCCAATTTTATTTGATTGTGACTTGGTTGTTCATGATATTATTTTATTATTTATATATAATTTGTTATTGAACCAACTCCCAAATTTTAGTGTTTATGCTGATGTTATTTTCATGATTTGTATTGTTCATTTTACGATATGTTGCAGTGTTGTGTTGGCTAAGAAAAAATCTTAATCTTTAAAGGCATTGAAATCAATGTTATTAGAACTGAACGGACATTAAACTGGTCATAGTACTAGTTCACTGAATCATAGTCTAACTGTAATTAGATTGTGACCTTTTTAAATTGAAATAATATTTTTTTAAATAATACATAAAAATACAAAATGATTTAATCAATATTTGTTCATATATGTTATGCATGCTCAAATTTATCTTGCAATATTTGTTTATATCAGTCGCACATATACCAAATTAACATGATTTAATTCAAGCACAATTTAAATAGTCAAAAGATAAATAATAAAAATAAATTTTAGAAATACAAACATGAATAAAAATTTATGATTTAAAATATGACAACTTATATTAGTATTAAACATAAAAATGCGATTTTAATTTCAATTACATGTAAATCTGGCGCCATTTTTTAATGTTGCAGGTGTTGGGACTTCAAAAGGCCACATCACATGTGATGTAGTGTTGTTGGGAAGGGTGCGCGTTGGGAAGTGATGGGCTGCAAGCGTATTTGCTTGTCAATGAAAGACAAAACAATCATTACCGTTTATCTTTTAAAAACAATCTTGGCCGTTGACTTAATACTTCTTTTCTCTTCTCTCTTCTGCCAGATATATTTCACAGCAGACCACATTTTAGAGAGTCACAGGGGCGAGGAGAATATGGTAAAATGTTGTGAGACATCGTCATCTGACAAAAGAAGGGTGTATAGCTCGACACCGGCGATCAGGGAGTTTCAAACTGAAAAACATGTGTATTTACACTTCAATTTCTATTCTCATTTATTATTTTTAAAAATTATTTTATAATATAATTTTTAAAATTATTTTTAAAAATGAAATAAAATTAAAAATTTATTTTATTATGCTAATTAAAAAATAATTTTATAATTAAAAAATAGACTATTAATGATGGTTATAGATAATTAATAATAGTGATTAATAATAGAAATTAATCAAGATAAATAATTTTAAATAATCAAATTTAATGTATTTTGAAATAAAAATAAAACCAAAACAACTTGAATTTAATTCTATTTTTTTATTTTAAAAAATAAAAACTGAAAATAGTTTTGAAAATAATTAAATGAAAAATACTTATCCAAACAATTTTTTAAATTTTTTAGTTTAAAAAAAATAATTTTTTAAACACAGAAAACAAACTGGCTCTTTGTCTCCCTTTTTTAATTTTCCGTTGTTCTTTCCTCTTCAACATTCTCTATTATTCTTTTTCTACAACTTCTTCCCCTTTTCTTCTCGAGCTCCCAGTGTTTTTTGGCATGGGTTGTCCATCTTTTTGGTCATTTTTTGGGCTCAGCAGAAGTGGTTAACTTACTGGTTTTTCTAGTTTTGGTAGTTTTCTCTTGGTCCACTTTTTGACCAATTCAGGTAATATTCTGAACTGGACATGTTCTTGGTTACCAGTGTCAGTCCGGTCCGCCTTTGATAACAGAGATTGAAATTGAAAGTTGGCTTAAAAAATGAAGGTAATTCAAGCTGTTGGGCTGGATTGAATAAACCCAAAAGATTGAATTGGAGGGACCAAACTTGGACATATATGTTTTTTCTAATATTCATGCTTAATTGAATTGCTTTGAATTGAATTCTGCATGTTTAAATTATCAGTTCTAATTCATTCATAGATTTTATATACTCTTTTTATTTTAAATTATAAAATATTTTTAGGGAAGATTTGGCATCCCAAATTATAAGACACTTTGATTAAAATAAGATTTTATTAATAATACTTTTTTAATATTAACCTTCCCATATATTCTCTTTCTTTAATATTTTTTTTATTAATGGAGTATTAAATGAAGGGTGTTTTTGAAAATTTATATTTTTTTTTTTGAAAATGTAAGGTTATAAAGTATATTTAATAAGCTTTATTGGTATGTGAGATTTTATCTAAAAGTATCTTATAATTTAAAACAGAAGGAGTATATTTTTTTCATAAAACAACAGGTGTGCGATTGCCTGCCTAAGGCACTCGAGATGATCTTAAACAAGATTGAAGAGTTTGATTTGAAAAGCTAGTAAAGAAATATCGTATTTGAATGGGGAACTTATAATTAAAGGAGGATAGTTCCTTATTTATGTGGATGATATATTTGTTATCATGTAAAAAGTGAGCTGAAATTGTCCATCCATGAAATATTTTACACCTAATTAATTCATTTTTCGGGCCATCACATCTAATTAAGGGCAAATCCACCCCTGATCTTTTTCATGAAGCACAATTGATATTATGAAGTTTTAAAAAGTACAATACCTCCTTGTACTCTCAAAAGCAGTGCACTGTCACTTGAAACAAACGGTTCCCTGGCGTGGATCATTAATGCCCATTTTTTTACTATCATGTGCTTTGCCGGCATGCCTTGTGGAACTGTCCTGCGCTTTGTTGGCATTTTTTTGCACCATTCAAGGATCCCCCTTTGCTAATGTCACCCCACCAAAGTCACTTTTGGCTCATGCCCACCACTACTATTGTTGTCATCATCATAATCATCTTCTTTCTTCAACCAAGAATTGAATTCTTTAGGATTATGGCATTTGAAAACAAGGGTATTGAAGAGACATCTGAAGTTCCAAGCACCATTAGAATTGGAACTCTAATAAAAAAGGGACTTGGATTGAATTCATCAGGGTTATGCTGAAGGAGGATGATGGCGGCAGAGGTGGATCATCAGAGAACATGGACTTAAGTGGAAAGCAAGATTAAACTGTGAGTGTCAAAGACTGAAGGATCGAAAGGCGAAGCTAGAACTTGGGAATAAGAGCAAAGAAAGGGATAGTGCTAGAGATTGGAGAGTGAGAGACAAGAGAGATGGATGGAGCTTGTGGGTAAGGCAGAGAACAAGTGAGGGGCAGGGGAAGTAACGTTGTGAGTGGTGACGATAGATAGGGTTTGAATTTATGGAGCTTTTAAATGTGATTCTCATTGACAGATTGAAAAAGAAGATGAAAAGTAGAAAGCTGATTGAAGGGCGTGGTCTACTATGATTGAAAAGCTCATCCCTCTCAGCTTCTCAAACTTGCACCCTCCTTTACTGTCAGCCACACTCATCCTCCTTCACCATCAACCATGCATCTCTCCATCTCAACTCACTCACTGTTTACATCTCTCCACACACACCCAACTCATTGCCTTCATCCCTCTATTCTGTTCACCATTCACTATTAAGCTGCTCTACTCTGTTCAATCTTCCACGCAAGTCCACTATCGACAATGCACATTAGAAGAAGAAATGTCAGTGCATCATGGGAAAGAAAGCAAATGTGGATGTTGTTTGAGTGAGGTGGATGCCACATGGCATGCCATGTAATCATAATAAAGTCAACCAAAGGTCAAAAGATTGAATCTGTTAAAATTGGATGGCACTGCTCTTCTTTTAAAAGTACACGAGGGACATTGCACCTTTTAAAACTTCATGATACTAATTGTGCCTAGTGAAAAAGTTTAGGAGTGGACTTGCGCTTTAACTCTCTAATTAATTCATTTGAAGATGTCAAATATCTTTTGGGTCATTGACTAATAACTAATTAAAGAACAATCAATATTGTACCTTCGAGGCATTTGGTAAAATTGGAAAGGACAATCGCCATTAAATAACCATATTGAAGTATAATTTTAGAAAAATGATATAACATAGAAATCATTATATATTTTTTGTCATGCCCCGAAAGCAGAGAGTGACCAACATGGGTAAGAACCACTTCATATATTCTCATAAGTCTTAAAATAAAAATTCATTCCATTTTTGGAAAAGGAATTAACCATATTATATGAAAAATCTAATAATTTTGATACTAATTGTCATAAAAGAATTTCAACATTTTTGTAAAAATTTCAGTAGAACCTCACTTATAAATAGGATTTCTCAAAAATTCTACAATACAAAAATTTCACAAAATATAGTATCAACTAAGAGCTTAGCTCCTTCCAACCAGTAAACAGTATATAAGTCAAAATAAAGCCCTAACAACAATCTATGTGGAGCAACTAATCTTTCTTCTAAATCAAAATACATAAGACTTAAATATTTACATCAAAAAGTAACAGTACCAAACAGTTATAATACCTCTTAGAAAAATAAGCAGACACATATCAATGAGTTGATATGTGTCAAATAATGCATAAGCTTGATTAGAACATATAGTTATAACACCTGTAACAATAGCATTTGAAGCTTTAGCATCCTGCCTCATCATAGCATAAACTCTTGCTTATCTCTGCCCTGAAGAAAATTGTCCTCTCTTACCATTTCCCTTTCCAAACATACCCTTATCAAGTGACTTTGAAGTGGCCCTAGCAGGTGGGATAGAAGATGAAGTAGGGTAGGGAGAAGGTTGAATTGATCCATGGCTTGACATAGGCTAGAGATATGAATAATTTCTTCTCAAATGGCCTATCTGCTCGCACTCAAAACATGCACTATACACTCTATGACATGGCCCCAAATGGTATTTCCCATAACTAGCACAAGGGATTCTAATGTAACCCGATTAATTTGGAATTGGCTAGGCTTTAGGTCTAATATTGCTAGGATTAGATCTCACGATAGTAGTGCTTGTTGATGGTGAACCATATGATCTAGGTCTAAATTGCATGCACGAAAGTGAGATTGACCTAAAAATTAATGACTCTTGGAAGAAGAACTAGGAAATTTCTCATCATGCTCCTTCTTGCATTTCTTAGAAATTGCTTCCTCTATCTTATGTTGATTCTCAATTCTCAATGCGCTATCTACAATCTCGGCATAGGTAATATCATAACCCAAAATAGGTGTTATATTTTCATGTATGTCTATTGGCAATCCATGCACAAACCTACTAATCTGTTCCCTTTCAATCGATATAATATGAGAGGAAAAAGAAGATAATACTGTAAACTTCTTATCATATTCTGCTATTGACATTCCTTTACTGCACTTTAAAGTAAGAAACTCTTCAACTTTTACGTCTCTAGTACTTTGAGGCAAATATCGATTCAAGAATATAGTCTTAAATTCTCCCTAAGTCAAAGAAGGTACTTTAGTTGCATGTAGGCCTGGGACTATTTTTGCCTAAGTACTTGCTACTCCTTAAAGTTGAAACACTGTAAATTTGACATACTGGACATCAGGGTATCTCAAGGCCCTGCATCTCTTCTCAATTGCTTCGAGGAATTCAACTAGGTCCTCCAGTGTATTGGTTCCTAAAAAGGATGGTGGTTTTAGTTTCATAAATTTTGACAGCTTAGTTACAAGATTTTCCTCTTGCATATCATGTGTCAAAGGGACAGTCTGTTCCTCAGACTGAGAACTTATTCCTTGATCTTTAGAAGGGATATCTTGAAGGGGCCTAAGGGTTCGGCCACCCTTAATCCTGATCCTAGTTTGATGTCGTCCTCTATCTCTTAAGGGTATTCATCTGTCAAAGAAATTCTACTAGAGGCCTTACTAACAGTAGAGCTCCTGGTAGATACTCGACGTCTGGGTGGCATGTTTAATTATAGAAGAAAATAAAAGAAATATTTGGTTTCAAAATACAACTTTATATAGCAAAAGAAATCGATAACAAGAAACAAACGACGTTCAAAGACTTCTTATATAACCTTCATTGATGCCTCAATTATAACTATGCTTGAGTTCATAATGATAATTAAGACCTCACTGAAAAGTTCTTGCTCTACACAGCTATATATAAAAACCATGGCTCTGCTTTAATACCAAAACTGTCATGCCTTAAAAGTAGAGGGAGACCAGCACAGGTACGAATCACTTCACACATTCTCGTAAGCCTCAAAATAAAAATTCATTCTATTTTTGAAAAAAAGAATTAATCAGATTATATAAAATTTCAATAATTTTGATACTAATTGTCATAACAAAATTTTAACATTTTTGTAAAAATTTTGACAGAACCTTCCCTATAAATAGGATCTCCCAAAAATTTTACAACACAAAAATTTCATAGAATATAGTATCAACTAGGAGCTTAGCTCCTTTCAGCTAGTGGACAATATATAAGTCAAAATAAACCCCTAACAACAATCTATGTGGAGCAATTAATTTTTTTCTAAATCAAAATACATAAGACTTAAATATTTACATCAAAAAGTAACAATACCAAACAAAATTTTTACCCAATACAACTGTAGTTTACTTTAGAGGTCGGTGGTGGGATCATCATCAGCTAATAAATTTGAGACCAAAATAAATTTTTTCTAGTGAATAGCATTTCCAAAGCAGAATTTGAAAGAATTAAGATAATAAGCTCAAATAATAATGTCAACTAATTGAAAAGATGATAATCCATCATAATAAACTTATTAAGTTTGTGAATCGTAATCATAAATGTAAAATGAGAGTAAATTAGAAATAATTTATTTTATCGTGCTTAAAGAAAATAATTTATTCACACATAAACCAAAGTGATATACTTGCTAACCAAAACTATTGAAATTTTGAAAACAATTAATCAAAATTAGAATTTATGAGAACTCAACAGAACAGGTAACAAATGTAGATACACAGTCCACGAGGGTAAATAATCAAATGCGGCTTATGTCATGAAGACAAATATGGACATACAGTCTATGAGGATAAGTAACCAAATGCAGCTAAAGTTACGAAAACAAACGTGAACACCTAGTCCACAAGGATAATACTAATCAAACGTGGCTCAATGCCACGAAATCAAACGCGGGTACAAATCCCATAAATAACAAACATGAAAATAAGCTCATGAGGCAACTAGTTAGTTATTAACCACAGCATGCTATGAGCTAACAAAACTGCCGTTAGCAGTAGTATTCTGTTTAGAATTCTCTTAAAAATCATGTTTCAAACATGCAGGAAAAATAATCACTTTTGAAATATAATTTATATTTTCAATACCAAACTCACATGAATCATTTCAAATTTCAATTTAGTACTTGTCAAAAATAATATTTCATAAATTTTTGAAATATATTTCTTGAGGAAATCATTGCATTTATCATCATCTAATTATCCATCATCAATATTTCATAATTTACAAAACTAATGTGATTCATAATAGTAAAATATTTCAATAAAATATCTCAAAAAATAAAAATAAATTAAAGGGGATGCTATTCACTTACTTGTTGAAGTTTTAAATTTTTAAAATATTTTTTCTTCAATTTCTATGAAAATTTTCTTCTTCCACACGTCCTATAAAGATATTAGTAAATAAAAATTTAATAAATCATTTTTAATTTACAAAGACTTCCTTCTACTCCTAATATAATTTCAATCAACCATTATCATGTAAAATTTGAAACTAAATTTTATGTTTTAAGATTATTTCAAACATTTCAAATAGCATCTCATTGATGCCAATATTCAAGTAATATATTAAAACTATTTTCTTTTAATCTCCTCTAATAAATTCCTTAACATCAACCAATCCAAGATTAACTCCACTTTCATGACCTATATGTATATCATTACCAGGCTTTAAGTCAATTTTTCTTTTCAGCTCAAATTTGAACCTTCTTCTTCCTTCAACGCATGGGCAGAAGCAGAGCATCAAGAAAAGAGAAAAATAGCAACACCAGCATTGTTATTCCTTACTCTCACACGCACAACAGGCTAACAATGGAAAGAATCAAGACTTCTCACCTTGGTAGCCACAACACCCCAACGAGAAGAAGCTACAGTAGAGAAAGGAAGAAAGCTGCTGATACCACACGTTACAGGGAGGAGAAGGATGCTTTTCCACAGTTTTCTCTCACTCCTCGGGTAGCCAGCAATGCATGTACAGAAGAAGAAAACGAAGCCTACAACTAAATAGGGGATATACGCCGAACACCACTCACCAAAAAGAAAAGGACTGAATCAGTTGAAATAACCAAGCCCTTGACAGCACCATCAACGTCTCCAGTGACTTAGCTTCTCACTCCAGCAGCAGACCGAACGTGAACCATACCAATGGAGCAGTAGACGGAGAAAGAAAAACAGAGGTGGGATATGAAAATGAACCTCTTACCGGTGGCCCTTGAGACCGAGGAAAGGAACGGAGATATAGAGGGACGAGGAGACGAGTTGCATTCGGATTCCAAATCTCTCTAGCTCTCTCGTGCACTCTGTAACCGACTCAAATAAGAGAGAGGAGAAAGGGAAAAAAAAAAAAATTATATGACGGAGGAGGGGCATTTTGGTAATTTCAGAGGAGCTAAACAAAATGAAAATCCCATTTTCTTACATCAATGATTCGAACTTGGGACCTTAAGAATTATTAATATGCACACTTTCACTCTACTCATACTTCATACTGGCATAATTACTCCAAATATACATGACATATATTTTAAACAAATTACTGTGTATATATATTTATTTATCTGTTTATTTACATCCACACACACATGTCTATATCATTATTTATTTTATTTTATTTTAATTAATTTTTATTTTATTTTATTTATTTTTTCTTTAAGGTTATTACATTTTTTATGCTGTAATGCTTATGTCCAAATCTTAACGCACGTACAATAGAAAAATTTTCCCATTTTTTTATCAGTGGCCATCATTTACCATTTAAACAAATGAAATCATGGCCACTCCATTTACTTTTAACTACATAAATTTTTATTTTTCAATTTTTTATTTTCACATTACCATATATTGTTTATTATTCAATAATATTCTTATTATGTTATAAAACTAACTGGAAAAAAATTATTGACAATAAATATTTAAAAATTAAAATTATATCATGTGTCACTCCTAACTGCAAATTCTTCTATCGTTCAATCATCTTGGCGACGGTATCTTAGTGGAGGCCGTAGCATTGGAATTAGACAACAGCTTAAGGAAACTTGTTTCAACAAAGGCAGGCATGGTGGGTCTCATGTGCTCCAATGATAAGCCTTTGCTTCTGAGCAAAACAACAACTTCAGACATTGTTGGTCTTATTGCTGGAGATGCTTCAGTGCAAAGCAAACCAATTTTTATGATTTTTTTTACTTCTTCTGCATCATACTCATTAGGGTCGAAGTTATTGTCCACCAACATTAATTGCATGCCTTTCTCATATGGTTTCCATGCCTGACAAGTGAGATCAAAGTAATATAAGGAGGAAGACAAAACAAAATTTAGGGTAGTTTCTTTCTATTTAGATTCTCCAAACGGCAAAAAGAGTAACCTTTAAGAAAGATTTAATCATGAAGTCATGAGCTGTTAAAAATATCTTTAAATATAGGAATTTCTTACCTGTTGAAGGAGGAATTTACCTTCCACATCAACATTAACGTTTAACTTAATAGTACTTCCTCTGTCGCTGATAATTTCTAGGACTACTACACCATAGTTGTATGTATCAACCTTTTCAGATAATTGACCATGAATTACATAATCAAGTGCTGTCGATCCCTTGACAAATGGATATGTCATTTATACTTACTGTGAAAAAGACACAAACACATAATTTTTGAAATGCAACAAAATTTGAAAAAAATATGTAACATTTGTCGTCATCAAAAATATTTTTATAAAAAATAACTTAAAAATAAATCAAAAATAAAATAATTTATATAAATAACTACTCAAATCCACCTTACAATGAAGTTGAAAATGATTAGATGTTAACTAAATTGATCACATGTGAGATTCTTATAATTATTATATAGTATAAATTTATTAGTATTCATTTTTAAAATTATTCAAAATGACTATTAACAAATTTATGTAGTTAAAATTAATTTTGTATTAAAATAATTTTTTAAGATATTGAAAAATTATTGATAAAATAGATTTTTAATAAAAGAGGGGGAAACATTAAGTATTTTCAGAGAAGATAAAATTTAATTATTTAGTATATCAATTTTTGAGAAAAATATGGAGAAGAAAAAAGTAAAAGATATTTAACATAAAATAATATAATACATATTTATAAATAAATTATATACTTAATAATTTCCATTTAAAAAATAAAAATATAATTTAAAATTGATTACAATGTACATAAGAATATTATTTAACATTTAAAAGCTGTTTATTTCAAGTTCATTTTCCCAACAAAAATAACATTTACTAGTGAAAAATAATATTTTATTAAAATGATAATTTAAATATTCATATAAATCATTTTGTTATATTAATAATTGAAAATAAAATAAATTATATGTATATATTTTTAATAATATATTATTTAATATATGTGTTTGCAGTTACATAACATATATTTAATTTCACATATAACAACTATAGGTGCATTTCAGTTTAACTGGCAAAGAATAGAGGCTTAAGGCTTGGAGGTGGGAGGTTAAGGGTTCAAACCTTAGCTTTGTCATATTTCACAACAAATATGTGACATGATCAATAGTGGTGACGTGGCGCATGAGGCGGCTTGATAAGGCACACACATGGCAAGTGATGTGGCACAAAATGGTGACGTAACGCATGAGGTGGCTTAAGGGGGCACAACACATACATGGTAGGTGGCGTGGCATGAGATAGTGGCGTGGCACATGAGGTGGCTTGAGAAAGTACACACGTGTCATGTGACATGATATAAGATGTCTAGGTGATGTGGTATCATTTGTCGAACACGTGACCTGTGATATGGCACAAGATGACAAGTGACATGGCATCATTTGTCACATATATGGTAGGTGACGTCGCATCTGATGTGGCATAAAATAAATTATTTTTTCTTAAAAAAAAGTTTTGGCTTGTTGCCACTAAAAATAGTTTTAGTGGCGAAAACCCTTTGGCAGTGACATTTTTATCGTTAAAAGTCTATTTTTGGTGGTGACAATATTTATCGCCGCCAAAAACTATTAGTGATGACTTTTTAGCAGTGAAAAATTGCCGCTAAAACTTTTAGCAGTGACTTTTGAAAGTTGCCACCAAAAGTTTATTTTTTGTAGTGCATGCACGTCTTTATCAAGTATATAATAATGTGACAATTAATGCTCATACATTGCAAAACTTGTGTCACTTTCTATGAAACAGATGCATATTGACATGTTATGTTTAGATAAAATTTCTTATATATTTTCCTATCAAATCCTTTGATTAGATTATGATCATATGGGGTTTCATCCAAAGTTCAATGGTAAAAGTGTAATAACACACATACTTCAAAAAAAAAAAAAAAAAAAAAAAAAAAGAGAAAGCACCAAAGTTCCCTATCGCATTTAAACTTACCTGGGTAATTCAGAATAATTAACACACACACAAACCAAATTGTCACCATGAATTTTTTGAATGAATCGTACGTACCTTGCTTGACTATGGGATTATTAGTGATATTAATGGTGTGGTTAGCAGGAAAGAAGGAAGTGGTGGAGAATCTGATAAAACAGCCAGCATCAAAAGCCCTACCATCTGAATTGGGAAGGCATGTCTGCACAGTGTTGATCCCTTCCTTCAAGCAATTCTCACACCCACTTTGTGAGATAGTTTCAGTATACTAAGCATATGCATAGATGGTCACTGTACCATTATTATTAGGAACTTGAATCTTTGTGGCTGCAGACAAACCAGTGATTTTGGGTGTTGTTTTTTGGAGATTCATTAGCACTTGTTGTGAAGCTGAAGCAAATTCAGTGGCTGCTTCTAAAGTACTACTCTGGTTTCCACACGATGCTGTGTATTGAAAATTCCCGTTGTCTGCTCCAAGATATTGGTGCTCTCATACCTCAACATGTCACAAAATATCCCAAATATATCAATTTTTTATAGCTCTATCTACATTTGACTTTCTCAGAGGATGAACTATCCTACTCAGATCTCCACTAAGTCTATTCAATGCCTTTTCAAAGTTAGTGGCAAAAAATTGGCGCTAGAGGCTTCTTATATACATTTCTCTAATGCCCTTTGTAATTCCTCACTTTTCTAATTTTTTTTTGGATCATTTGCTTTAACATAAAATGAGAAATATTTTAATAATTTAAAACTCCAAAACGATAGAGTTTTATATTTTTTATAATTTTCCAAAGGAAAAAAAACCTTAAGAAGGTAGGACTTTCAAAAAGACATTAGAGAAAGGCATATTTTTTTTACCAATGAGAAAGGCACCACTACTACAAAAAAAAACTTTTTACAACGGTTAAAAAATACTTTTTACATCGGTTCACGTAGCATTGTTGTTTCAGGGGATGTAGAAAATACGAGACTTTTTACATCGGTTGTACAACCGATGTAAAAGGTGGACTTTCTACATCGGTTATAGCTAGAACCAATGTAGAAAGTCCACCTTCTACAGCGGTTCTGGGGCTAACTGATGTAGAAAGTCCGCTTTCTATATTAATTCTCGCCAGAACCGTTGTAGAAGGTGGACTTTCTACATTGGTTCTGGCCACAACTGATGTAGAAAGTTCACCTTCTACATCGATTTTATCTACAACCACTGTAGATAGCAATATTATTTTGAAAAAAATAGGGTTGTTTTTCTAGGTTGTAAACCCTATAATTTAAAAAAACACCTCTAAAATAAATAGAAATAAAATTCAATAGCCATAAACTAAGAAAGAGTTATTTAATTTATTCAAATATATAACAATTTATATTCAACTTTTATTTATTTAAATCATAACAAAAGAATTGGAATTATAATTAAACAATATAAACAAAATTTTTGTATGCTAAATTAAAAGAACCTAAAATTCCTTAGAAAATACAAGTGCACAAAAGCAAGGGGAACAAGCTCTTGATAGAAACTCCTTCTTTGCCTGTATGAGCAAGTTGAACACACATACACACACCAAGTGTTGATAGTCTTCATTCCCAAAATCTGGTAAGGCCTCAACTTTTTTGTCCTATGGGTTTCATACCCTTGTAGAAGAAAATGAAACTACTATTAACTATTGAAAACATTATAGGTACATATATACTATAAAAAAATCATATTATAGATTTAATTTTAGCTTACATTGAACAGTTATCTTAGAATAGAAGGCCAAAATCATATACAAAAGGTGCTTAACACAACTAAAGAGACATTGGAAAGAAAAAAGTGGTTAACTATAAATAGAAAATTTGAAGCAAACTACCAAGAACAACCAAGAATAGCCATTAAGTAATTTGAATATGCAAACATAAAAGCTTATATTTATAAGTATTGAACATTTGACTATTTCTAATATTCCAACCATACGATACCTTTCAGACAGAGCAAGACTAGCTCAAAAGTATTGGTTTTCTTGCATTTGCAACCACTTCCTCCTATAGTGGATACCTTGAACATGAAGAAGAAGAAAAATAATTAATATTAATAGATAGATAGATAAATAAAAATGAACCAAGTAAGTAGCACTTTGTTGAAGTTAACTTAACATTTTATGAGCAGAAAAATATATGTAAAGCCAACTTAAGGTGCAGAGCATGAATCCTTTTGCTCACCTCATTAAGACATGAAATCATTTAATTAAAAAAACAAGGAAAAGAAGATTTCTTAAACATGTAGTATTTATGCCATGAAATCAAAATAACATCATATATAGAAGGGGTATTAAACAACAACAAAAGAAAGTATGAAAATCATTAATAAGAAAATCACTATAGAAGCCAAAACATGGTTGTAGAAACAATACTATCACCATTTCCACCACAAGCAACCTACAAATTGCACAAGTCAGTATGCAAATCTATCATGACATATTGAATAACCAAAAACAGGGTAAGAGAAAGAATTAAGACCTTAGCATTGTCTATATAGTTGTTTGATTATATTTTTATTCTCATTTTATTTTGCTGAGGCTACTGCAAACATATATAAAATATAAATAAAAATAATTCAATCATGAACTTGGATGCACAGATCGAACAAGGTATTAACTTTTGCGTATCCTTTAATTAGCAAATCCAACCAAAAGCAAATAAGTAATATCAAACAGGATTAAATTCATATTCAATGGCAACATATAAATAACTGAGAATGGGTAATATTCAAGCTAAGGGAACCCAAATTTGACAAGAATGACACCAATGAGATGCTACACAAGAGAGAAGGTGAGAGAAGGAGAAGAATGGTGGAAGCACCCAAAACAGAGGCTGTAATGCGGACAAAATAAATCTCACATCTGGAAACTAATTGACCATCCAACCGTTGAAAATGACGCATTAGATGTTCCAAACTATCTGACAAAATTTTAACTTGATCCAATGGTTAACAAACCTGTAAGAGTAGATTTACTAAAACTGTCCTGTGAATATGCGAAAATAACTTTGGAGGAAGGAGGAGAAGGATTTGGACAAAATGGATCTTGAATTTTAGGTATCTTGTTTAGGGAAAAGGGATGAGGAGGAGGAGGAGGAGAGGACGGCAACACAATATGGAGGCGAGGAGAGAAGAAGACAAGGAGGAAAATGATGCAAAACATGTTCTGTGCGGGGACAATGATGAGAACTAAAACTTTAAATGACTTTTTATATCGGTTGCTAGGGTAACTAATGTAGATAATACTTTTTACATCGGTTACCACTAAAACCGATGTAAAAAGTATTTATTTTTTTAATATTTTTTAAAATTCAAAATACTTTTTACATCAGGTGATAGAGTGCCCGATGTAAAAGTTTACTTTCTACATCGGGTAGAAAAGCACTCGATGTAAAAAGTGTGTATTTTTTTAATTTTTTAAAAAATTCAAAGTACTTTTTATATTGGGTGCTCTATCACCCGATGTAAAAAGTATACTTTTTACATCGAGTGTTTCCACCTGATGTAGAAAGTACTTTCTACATCGGGTAGAAAAGCACCTAATGTAAAAAGTGTGTATTTTTTTAATTTTTTAAAAAATTTAAAGTCCTTTTTATATCAGGTGCTCTATCACCCGATGTAAAAAGTATACTTTCTACATCGGGTGCTTTTCTACCCGATGTAGAAAGTACTTTTTACATCGGGTGAAAAAGCACCCAATGTAAAAAGTCTAATAATCATGGCTAATATTACAAAATTGCCACCGCCTGAACTTTTTACATCGTTTGCCTTCCAACTGATGTAAAAAGTCCCCTGTAAAAGCCAAATTTTGTACTAGTGCACATTAGAGGCTCATAGTTTAAAAAAAAATGTTCAGTATATGAAGGGATACATTTTAAAGATTTAGATTTGGTGACTGTATTTAATACAGGCATTGAGTATCTATACTATTTAAATAGTTAAAATTCAAATAAATAATTATAAATTCATACTTTATTAAAGATTAATAAATGAGTGAGTTTATCTGAATTGTTAATTTAAATTTTAACGACTCAGATGGTATAGGCACTCAATGCTTGTGTTAAGTACATTCACCGAATTCAAATCCTACGTTTTGGTGGTTGTTTTAGTGTGTAAAGATTTAAAATTAATGAACGAGACACTGATTGAACTAGAGAAAAAAAAGGGGGGGGGGGGAGACGTGAACGAAAGAGAAAGCGAAGTGGAGGATAAGATTTGATTTTCGCAAGTAAAGGAGAAAGAATAAAATAAAAAGGAAGAAAAAAAAAATTAATGGAAGAGGTCCATGTGACGAGGTTTTGACTGAGGAAAAGGAAGGGAAATCAGTAGAGAGGAGATAATATATTTTATCAAATCCACTAAAAATTATTGATTGAATTAGAAATAAAATATGTAGAAAAATAATATAAATGCTAAATTATGAAGATTATAAATTAGAGACAAATAAAGGCATTTTAAAAGCACGCCATTACTAATTATCTGAGCCTGAGCAACTTAAGGCAAGGTTTGATATACATAAAAGTGTTTATTAAAAGGGAATTAAGAATACACTTATTACATTTCTTTTCTAGATATATTTTCAAAATTTATTTTCTAAAAAATATTTTATATGCATCAAATATTATATAAGAATCTTTTTTGAGATATTTGAAGTTCGTAAAGGCATCTTAAATCATTAAGAAATTGTATGTATGTATCTTAATTATATTCTTCCTTCCTACTCCTTAATTTTGGAGCATTTAAAAAATGTTTATTCATAACATCTCTTGTGGATCCTACCCAGCTAGATGTCGTATTGCAACGTTGGCCCAAAAAAAAAAAAAATACATGGCGTATTGTAACAACTAATAGCCTTGATTAAGGAATAATACAAAATATTGAGGGTGCCATTTCTTTTTCATTTTACAAAACTGCCATTCCTAATGGAGCAACGCACGCATTATATTGTATCAAAAGCATTACTCTGATTCTAATTATAAGGAATCGGATAAAAAGATGAAATAATCTCCTAGGTTTATCCTTCAATTTAAGAAAATATTTACACAAATAACAAGGTAATTTAAGAAATAAAAATAACATAATAATATTTATTAAAACAACTTAGAAGGGAAGTGGCCGTACCTGACGAAGCAGCCGTCGTAGATGACACTGGCAAAGTTAGTCCCGGCGGAGCAGTTTCGGATTTACCCGACGGCATCGGTGAAACAGGCGACACAGTCGACGACGGAGAGGTAGTTTCTGCACTGAGAAATACCGTAAACGGGGAGGGCTCCGTCAGTTTGCTGCGTCGTGGTAAAGAACTTGCTCTGGTTCACGACCTGATCTGGGAGGTCTCGAAACGCTGCGTTTACGCTGTCATTGAAGGACTTGGTATCATACTCATCTCTGTTATATTGGAGGCAGGCACGGCTAAGAAGATTGCTCTGGGGCTCAGAAACGACGCCGTGAAGGGACCAGCATGACCAGAATATGAAGTTAGCGAATGAGGGAAGAAGGAGCGCAACAGGGTGAAGCATGGTTTTGTGGGATTTTGGTCAATGGAGATATGAGATATACGTTAACGTGTTGGTTTAGGTCTGTGTGAACTGTTAAGAGAAAGAAGATGAAGAGAGAAATGAGGAAGGTCAAATCAAGTAGCTGTAGATTAACGGAGTAGTGAATGATTGATGACTGGCAAGTGGGGTCAACGTGTCATGATGGAGAGAAGGAAGATCAAGAAAAGTAGTCGCCTTTAATGATGGAGGATAAGAAAAGGCTTGGCAGGCGTTTGGAAAAGACTAAAACAAATTATACAAAAGCGCTTTTATTTTTTTATTACTCACATATTCTCTTTATTTCAGGTAATATTGTTTGAAACAGTTTGAATATTAAATATAAATATCGAAATCATAATTTAAACATTAGATAGCCACATTATGAGAGATTAGTAAGGTATTAAAAATTATATTAGTCTAACTAAGGGTTTTCCTAGAATCAAATCAATAACAATTAAAATAAATTAAAATATATAAAATTTCTCTAAATTTTAAAGTAGTTACATATAGCTATCCTTATTTTTAAAATTTTAAAATTAAACTCCTAACCTTTAAACCCCATGCTTTTTATTATATTATTTTTTCATAAAGGTTTAAATATCATTTAACTAAAAAATGTTATTAAATAAGATATTATATTGTAGAACTCTGGTCAATTAGTTTTTTTTTTTTATATTTTTTGGATAGTTGAGGCATTGATAATAGCCAAAATAAATGTTATTATCACCATATAAAATTTTAAATATTTACTTTTGTATTAGTTTCATCTATTTTTTTTATTATCAATGGAGCATAGTTTTCTTGGATTGAAAGATAAATTAATCTAACTTAGTAATATTTAAAATTTTAAATATTTTAGCCATGTGTATTACATTAATCTAACAGAAAAATATAAGTAAACATTTATCTTTTGAAACAATAAAATTATATACCATTGGTAACAAAAAAACATGAATAAAATTAATATAAATGTAAATATTTAAAATTTTGTACAGTGATAATAGCATATTTTTTGCTATTATCAATGCCTCAACTATCTAAAAAAATATAAAAAATTTATTATAAATAGTTATACAATATAATATTTTTGTTTAATACTCCCTCCGTTAAAAAATATAAGGCATTTTTTGAAGAGTTAGATATTAAAAAATGTAAGACATTTTTAATCTTTTGAGGTGTAATTATTGCCTTTTTTTAAAAAGTACCCCTATTGATAATAACTTTATATTTATTATATGGTATTTAATGTGGATAAATATGAAAGATAGGGTTAGTTAAAAAGTAGGTAACTACTTTATTAGGGGGTGTGATTCGATTAAAAATATCTTATATTTTTTAACGGAGGGAGTAATATTTTTTAGTTGAATGATATTTTAACCCTCATGAAAAAATAATAAAATTAATTTTATAAAAAAATAACATAATTAACAATAAGAGGTCTTAAGAAACAAAATTAAAGGTTAAGGGTTAACTTTAAAGTTTTAAAGGTAAGAGGAGTTATATGCAACTATATCAAAATTTACGAGGGTTTTATGCATTTTAGCCATTAAAATAATACTCCCTTTGTACATATCAACAAAGCTCATTAAATATACTTTACACTATTATTTTTTTAAGATAAAAATATAAACTTTTATGTAATGACAAAAAAAAGAAAAAAGAAAAAAAGAAGAATTCTCCTAATTTATATTTTCTTTAAATTAGTTTTTATGAAAAATGGAAGGGTGAGTTACTGGAACTTATGCTAATAGCTTACTTGAAGGTCTAAAGTTTTAATTTTTGTTAGTAATAAATTAATTTTATTTAGTTTAAAATTTTAAGAAAATTACCAAAGTACTTGTGTCTTTTATGTTATTAGAAAAAATTTTGGGCCCTCTTTTTGTAATTTTTACAATTTCATAAAGACCTGTTTATATTCTCTCTCTCTCTCGATCAATATGCACGCGCCACCTCATTTTTTCCCTTCTCCTTCGGCATTTTTGACAAATCTAGAATCACCGAGAGTTAGAGAAATCTTTCGTTCATTCTCTGCTCATCTCCTCCTCGCTGTTGTTCTTCATTTCTTCCCTCATTGTAGCTGAGCTTGCTTGTTTCTTCTCTGTTGAGGATCTGCCGTGAAATGACACTGCTTCTCATTTCCCCTGTCTCTAGTTACTGCCGATTTCTGCTCATTATTGATGAAGTGTGCTTGGTCTTTGCCTCTTCTTCCTCCTTAGCTACTATCTTCAGATCACCGGAATTTGTTGTTGCAAGTCGATCTACTCGCTCCTTGCTCAGGCTTCATCGTGATTCCTTCTTCTCCCTCCTTCGGTGTCGTCTAGGTGATAATGTGTGGAGCTCGTCCTTCTTCCCCTCCATTGGTCCACTGCTGTTACAGGTATTGGTTCGCTGCTGTTACAAGTACTGTTGTGGGTTTGCGATCTTCTTCCTCCTTTGCTCTTCCTTGACCGTGCGATGGCTTCCCTTGTTTCTTCTTAGTTCAACGTTGTCACTGTGTTCAAGGGTGGGTAGCCATGGTGCGTCAGTTTCATCCCCTATTTTGCTTAGTTAACTTCCTCATCTTACTGCTAACTTCGCTGATTGAGATGGGTGTTTGGGGTCTTATTTTTCTCACTGAAAATGTGAGTGTGTTATATGGCTGAGTTGTGACTTATTTTTTTATTGTTGCTATGTATAAACAGGAGGAGTAATCGGATTTAAACAAGCTAAAAATTTAGTTCTAAGAGTGTGATTTTTGGTAGATAAATGCACTTATGTTTATGTTGAAGAAGAGGAATTAGATTTAATTTTTTTTAAGGTCCAATTGAATTTTTTTCTATTGAAGAATTGAAATTAGGATTGGCTGATTGAGTTTAATATCAATTTTGGGATTTGTAGGAGATGAGATTTAAGGGGAAGAGGTTTGGTGTTAATCTGAGAATTAATGGATGATAAGTATTCGATAAAATGCCTCTAGGATAGTTTTGCTTGAATATCTTAGATTTATGAAATGTGATTCGTTATTGTGATAGAAAACATTTAGTTTGAGTGTTATTGATCCATGAATTTAGCTTGTAAGTTACAAATTAAAGAAATTTAATCGTTATGAATTTATATGTGACTTTAAATTCTTAGGGATAGAATGGTTATTAATAAAATGTTGGATATAATATGATAGGTTGGAAAATTCTAATTGTATGGTTGGAAACAATGTACTGAAGAGAAAATGTTATCTCAAGTAAATTGGTTGATATGGCTAAAGCATTATGGAGGAAATTAGTGACATAAATGATAGTGCTTAAACATTATTAGCTATAAATCTAAATTGAACTTTTGAAAAGGAGTTCATTAAAGGAATTATTGAGATCTTATCGAAGGCCTTAGAATTATTGAGAGTTATAAGGCTAAAGAGTGTACAAGGTATATTATCAATTTAGAAGTCATACTTGAATATTTGAAAATGATTGGTCAAGAGAATTAAAGATTATATATTTATTCAATGGTTTGGAATGTCGTACATTAGATGCTTGGTAAAAAGCCTAAAGAAAAACCTTTTATGTATAAATGTTGTTGCTAAAATTTCAAAGTTTTTTTTTTATTTTGTTGAATGGATTTCCTTTAAAGAGATTTGTTGATTCAAAAGTAAAGTTCATTAAAATCTTATTATACTTTATAGGGTAATTATAAGGAAGGTAGCTCGATTAGAGTTGTAAGAAATGAATTTGAGTTTTGAAGATTCTACAGGTAAGTGGATAGTGTCCCAACTAATTTATTAATAAATTTTTCTTATTCAAATTTATTTTTTACATTGATTATTTTAATAATAATTATGTTGATTAGTGGTGAAAAACGATTCATCATAGCATATGAATGTTTTATCCTTATGAGATATTCTTTCAGGATTAATAAAATTTCTTTTCATTAGCATTAAAAATTTTTGATTATTCAATAAATACAAGCATGAGCATTGGATATAAAATTTGATTTTGGAAAGTTTTAATACTTAAAAGTATTCATGCGAGTTTGATTTTGAGAATGAGAATTGTATTTTGAAAGTGATGATTTTCTTACATGTTTGAAAATGGTTTTAAAAAGAAACTTTATACAGAACACTGATTGCTAACGGCAGTTCCGTTAGCCCTTGGCGTGCTATAGTATACTTAGCTAGTAGGGTGTTTGTAGGAGGTGCTAGCCCCGTGCGATGGCCAATGCACGTGGAACGGAAGGATGGTTATTCATGAGCATCGTACTCATGTTTGTTTCGTAACTTCGGCTGCATTTAGTTATATACCATCGTGGACTGTGTGTCCATATTTGTTTTATGGCTTTAGCTACGTTTGGTTACTTACCTTCGTGGACTGTGTGTTCACATTTGTTTTCGTAGTATAAGCCGCGTTTGGTTACTTACCATCGTACTCACGTTTGTTTCGTAACTTCAACTACGTTTGATTACATACCCTCATGGACTGTGCGTCTACATTTGTTTTGTGGCTTCAGTTATGTTTGATTACTTATCCTCGTGGACTGTGTATTCATATTTGTTTTCATAACATAAGCTACGTTTGGTTATTTACTTTCGCGGACTGTGTGTCCATGTTTGTTAATTGTTCTGATAAGTTTCGATAATTATGAATCCAATCATTTAATGATTTCATATACTATTGGTTTTATTTAGAAATTTATTTATAAATATTTATTTCATTTATATGCTTTCTTGAATTAAGTGATATTATCATTTGCTAAGATAGTTCAATGATTTGAGATTTTATTTGAAATTTATAGAGCCATTTTATTTTAAAGTAAATTTTTATGAAAATTTTATCTATTTAACTTATATAACTATTTCAAACTTTTTATTTTATTTATGTTCTATTGTTTATTGTTGGGACGTTATTCACTAAAAAATTATTTTAATCTCAGATTCTTTAGTTGAAATTGATCTTCCTGTTGATCCTTGAGCACTTATAGACAGGTGGAGGGTTAATTGAAATTTTTCTTTTGATGTAATTATAAATATTTATATATCTTATTTTATTTTATTTTATTTTTGGAAAGTATGATTAGGTGCTCCACATAAGCTATAACTAGGACTTTTATTTTGATATATATGCTGTCTAACGGCTGGAAGGAGCTAACCTCCTGATTTATTTGATATATTGAGTGCATCAATGTATTGTAGAAATTTTGAGAGATTTTATTTACAGAAGGGGTTTTATCAAAATTTTTATGAACATGTTAAAATTTTGTTATAATTATTAGTATCAAAAGTGTTATAGTTTCAATATAAATCTAATTTAATTTTAGAAATAGAGTGAATTTATGATTTAAGGCTTACAAGGATGTGTGAAACGGTTCATATTCCGTGCCGGTCGCTCTCCAATTTTTGGGGCGTGATAGTTTAAAATTCTGTTCACTAAATACTCTACTAATATTAAAAAATTAAAGAGAGAAAATATATAGAAAGGATAATACTGAAAAAGTATCATTAAGAAAATCTTATTTTTATCATGTGTCTTATCTAAAACAATAAATTTTTTTTTAAAATATCTTATAATTTGGGATGGAATTAGTATAATTTAATTGAAATATACAAAAATATTTATATTTGACAATGAAAATAGTGATATTTCAATAAAAAAAATTAGTAATTCTCAAGTAAATAAAAAACTCATTCATAAATTCTTATACAAATATTAAATATAAGTTTCTAATAATAATAAAATACAACAACATTAAATATGTTAATTAAGAAATTTAGGGTTCAATATTTTCAAAAGGGCAGAGAAAAGAATAAAAAATAATAAAATATAACCTGACTCAGCCCATTGAACGCACAAGGTTGAAACCAATTTGTTAAATTAATTGGACTAGCTAGGTGACTTGTTCACTGGTAAACCTGGCCAATTAGTCCGGGCTTGCAATAATGGGGACCAGCCTTTTCAATTAAACACATAGACCTAACCTTATTGGTACAAAAACACATCTTATTTGCAAATTTAAAATATTTTTCTTCAAACATCATCAATCATTTAACTAGATCTTTTTAATTTTGATTCTTTTTTTAATAGGAGTCATTATACCCAATGTAAACCCAAAAATCTTGATCAATATGTTATATTATACGGCTTTGTTTGCATTCCATTGCCCAAAAATGCATGTCAGCTTATTTAGCATCCAAACAAAGTCTAAATATGATCCAAAATCATGTTATTCACAATTTACAAGAGCTGCCAGATTATTTTTACTTTTTCTCCGATTTTTTTAAAATTCGTCTTTATATTATTAACATTTTTTTAAAATATACTTTTCATCTCTCCCATAAACTTGGGATTTTTTATTTCTCCTTAATAAATTCCTTTTGCCATATACCAAACATAATAAAAGTGAAGATATTTTTCTCGCTTTCATTTTATTCTGAAAAAAAAAAACTGTAATTTCTATGTACCAAAGCCGCCATTGAGCCTTTACATCTGGGCCCTCTTCATGGGAATAAAGTTTACTTTTAACATTGGAAAAGGAAAGAACAACTTTTAAATGGTCCGCGCATGAAGATGAGCATTGGGTTGGAAGTCAACTTTTCATTTTCAAAACCAAAAACTACTTACCCTCAGAGGACTAGTGACTAGATTAATTAAATTAATGTTTTTTTCTTTTCTGAAACTATCCAGAAAATAGTCAATTTCATTCTCTTTCTCTTTTCCAATCCATCCCTTTCATGGAAAATATAATCACGGAAAGAATGAAAAAAAAAAAAGAATAAAATACTACCAATATGCATGAATAATCCTAAAGAGTGAGATGTGTACTTCTTCTGTTAAAAAATATAAGACATTTTTTAATGAGTTGAATGTTAAAAAATGTAAGGTATTTTTAGTCTTTCGAGGTGTAATCATTGCCTTTTTTTTTTCAAAAGTGCTCCTATTGATAATGACTTTATATTTATTATAAGGTATTTAATAGGGGTAAATATAAAAAGATAAGGTTAGTTGAAAAGTAGGTAATTATTTTATTGAGGGTGAGATTTAGTTAAATATATCTTATATTTTTGAACGGAAGGAGTACTATTCAGGATTTGGAAACAGTGCAACTCTCTCCATTTTTATTATAGATCATAGACACACATGTTCTCAATGAGAATGACCATCTATAATATATTTCTGATGACCAAATTTGAATAATCTTATTGATGGACTTATATTTTAGATTTTGAAATCTTGTATTTTAAATATCACATTTGAAATTCATGTATTTAAAATCATTTGTTTAAATAGTTTAATTAAAAAATTTTAAATGAATATGAGAGATGAATTGAGATTCAAAATAAAAATAACAAATTAAAAGTGACAAATTTAGTTTTTTAATTAATATTAAAAATACGAAGAGAACAAAATGTTTAAAGTGATTAGAATTTTAAAAAACTAGGATACAAAGAAAAATTAAAATTATAAAGAAATTATAATTTCAAATGGATTTGGATTTGAACCAAATCTAAATTCATAAATTTTTATATATTCAAATGAGAGATTTGATTCAAATCTAAATCCTCCTTAATCTAAACACACTAAGTGTTTGCCCAAAAGTGGCAAAACATTAGGATCCCACATTGCACCCAGCTTTTTCATGTCTAGTCACTATTAAAATTTCATATTAATAAAAAATTAAGGCTTGTCACTTACACATTTATATAGCTGTGATTAATTATTATAATTACTTGATGTGTACATTTAATAGTTACAACAGAAAGAAATTAAATTATCAAACATAATGTGATAATTATTTTTGACTTCTTACGTATTGATGGATGTATTGATGATCATATATATTAGTACATTAGTATTGATTCATGTTAAAGTAAAGTGAATTTTAAAAGGTTACCAAAAATGACATGGGAGACTTGTCATGTTTTCAATTTTTCCACCGAGCAACAACTATAATCATTGCGTGGATCCATTTTCTGAAAAGCTATACATCTCATAAACATCTTCACAATGAAAGCCAAACAAAATATAATTTAATCGAAGTTCAAGTGAGAAGACTTTAATTTATACAAAGTGGTATATGGAATGAAGGATCATTACTTTCCATTTTCTCTTTCTTCTATGATTAGGAACTCCAAGTCACACTAAAACCACACGTTTCTGTAGAACGCAATATTGACAGTATATTAGATGCATGTAGTAGAGGATGCAGCAGAGAGGATAATTAAGGAGCCTCCGTTGGAGCTCTAATTAATTAGTTTGAATCAAGAGAGGCATGGTGGGTTTTAAGTTCTCTGATAAGGCCTTGTTTTGGAGAAAAACAACTACTTCTGACATTGTTGGCCTTATGTCAGCAAATGCTTGAGTGCAAAGCAAACCAATCTCCATGACTTTCTTCACTTCTTCTGCATCATCCTCATTAAGGTCTAAGGTATTGTCCACCAACTCTAAGTGGATTCCTCTCTCATATAATTTCCAAGCCTGTCAAGTGGGTTTAAGATGAAATGGAATAAGAGTGGTAAACAAGGCAAAAACATAGGTTAACATTTTTATTAATTTTTATTAGATAAGTGCTTTTATAAAAGAGTTAGGCGTGTTGTAAAATATTGAGTTGTTAAATAAGTCCTCCATTTTTTTTTAGAAATTTAAAATGCTTATTTAAAATAGTTATGAAAATTTTCTTACTTTTTGAAGGAGGAATTCGCCTTCAACTTCACCATGGACCTTCAATTCTTCACTTCTTTGACCACTGATGATTTCCAAGACTACAACGCCATAGCTGAAAACATCAGCTTTCTGCGATAATTGGCCATGAATTGCATATTCAGGTGCTGTGTACCCCCTAACATGAATGATATGTAATTGATTATGATATTGTCTCTAACATGAATAAGTAAATATTGGGATCCAACAAAATCTGTAATATAGACATTTTCCATGCATGGAATAGGAATATAGACGTTTGACAAGTAACTTACTACATCATGCTAATTGATTTGAAGAATTCATGCTCTATAGAAAACAGGACAAAGGGAAAAGGTATCATTAAAACTATGTACAGGTTCTAAGAGCTTCCATTGACACGAACACATAGTATCATGCATGTCTGATTTAGTAATATAACAAAACTTGATAAAAATGCAATTGTTTCAACTTACAATGTTCCAACAAATTTTGTATTAAGATGAGATTTGTCTTCAGGTATGAGTCTTGCCAATCCAAAATCAGCAATTTTGGGCTGAAGATCATCATCTAAAAGGATGTTGTTGGTCTTTATATCTCTATGTATTATACGAACATGAAATTCTTCATGTAAGTAGGCTAATCCCCTTGCTGTTCCTAAAATAATATCAAATCTCTGCTTCCAATCGAGAAAACCTCTCCTTTTACCTGTTTCCCAAGTTTACACATATTGAGGGTGGGAAAAAGATAAGGGTAAAACGAGAAAGATATATCTCAGAATGTTGAAGTATAGGTACGTAACTGATCTATTTGTTTATCAAACTAGTCAACAAATTATGAAATATAAGTTATTGTTAATTACTGGAGTCAATGACATGTTATGTTGGAAATATGTCCATCTGTTATGATGTTATTAAGAAGTATAGTAGCTTATTTTTTTTTAAGAACGGTATAAAAGTTTTTTAGGTTGATATAACTTACCAAATAAGAATCGATCAAGGCTGGTGTTTTTCATGTATTCATAAACAAGGATTCTTTGATCTCCTTTACTAGAGCATCCCAGAAGTCGAATAAGATTTCGATGATGAACATTACTTATCAGCTTCACTTCGCTCTCAAACTCTTCCTCCATTTTTTGGGAGTTTCGTAAAGTTAATTTTTTGATCGCCACTACTTTCCCGTTCTTCAAGTTACCCTGTCCATGATTATTAAAAATTTCTAATCATGAAAGTATTATTAATTCTGTCTTTGTCCTTTGCAAAACTTAAACGTTTTACAGCACTGTAAAACTCAATTTGAAACATTTTTGCTTTATGTCATGATCCATATCAAAATATTGAAAGTCAAATCAAACTTACCTTGTATACAGTACCAAACCCTCCCGCTCCTAGTTTATTTTCTACACTAAAATTTTTTGTTGCAAGCTTCAAGTCCCTATAATTGTAAGTTACTGGTGGTTTCAACTTGCTTGCTCCAGGTATGTCATCTGTTAAGGAAAATATCAGCCAAAGTGATCTCTTCACAAATTGGTAAAACCAGTCAAGGATTCGTCACTTCATATATAATAAACTCTAAACTCCATAACGTCCTCTTTCTGTGAAAAGCAAAGGATCACATTTTAATATCACAACTCAATAGACGGTAGTTAATGACTTTTCAAATTATTTACCTCTAGGAACACTTTTTGGCTTTTTTGGTCGTTTGATCCAAACAAGTAATGCAAGGACCACCAAAACAACAACCACAGCTCCAAGCACACCACCAATAATAGCCCCCTTATTATTGCTACTACGACCTGCAACCAAGACAGGTACCTCATTTCCAAGTGATTAAGCCACTCACTATAAACACTATACATACATACATACATACATACATACATACATACATACATACATACATATATATATATATATCACTTCTGAAATATCTATAATTATATCTAGGAAAAATATACTTGTTAGTCCCTATACTTTTAGTATGTTTTGATATTAGACCTTGTATTCTTTTTTTGTTCCTTCAAGTCATTTAAATTTTATCTGTATGCAATCTTAGTCCCTATTTATAAATATGATCATAAGGGCTTAACAGTAGCTAACATGTACATAAACTCCATTACTTCCTGTGTTGGCTTATTAAAATTATGATGAATTGTATAAAAAATGAGTAGAAGGCAAAAAAAAAGCAAGATATGAAATCAAAATCTTTAAACAAGCAATGGATGCAGCTTTAAAGGGAAGTAGACATGACAACTAGGACATTCCAATAAAAAGGTTAGTAGCCATTTTGCTCTTATAATGGACAACTCATTGTAAATTTTTCCAATTCAGCTATTGGATTGACATAATTATATATCACGATAGATTTAACTTTGTCAATGATGATAAGGATTAGAGTTGCAGACAAATAAAACTTAAGGGACTTAGAGTAATGAAAAGAAAATATAAGGACTAAAACCAAAAAAGATAAAAGTATAGGGATCAGCAATTGTATTTTTCCTTATATATACTTAAATCCTGGAATGAATTGTACCTTGTTTGACCAAGGGAATAGTATCAATGGTTTGGTTATCAGGAAAGAAGGAAGTGGTGGAGTATCTCATGAAGCAGCCAGCAGCATAAGCCCTGCCATCTGAATTGGGAAGACAAGTCTGCATATTGCTATATCCAGAGTTGAGGCAATCCAGGCAAGCACTTTGTGTGATAGTTTCAATACATTGAGCGAAGGCATATATAGTTCCACCATTATTAGGCACTTGGGTCTTGCTAGCTGCATAAAAGCCAGTGATTGTGGGCGTTGTCGCTTGCAGATTCGTTAGCAATTTTTGGGTAGCTGACGTGAATTCTGTGGCTTGATCTCCTGCACTACGATTCCCGCACGATACAGCATTGAATGAGGTTGTCTCACTGAAGAAAGTGCTGACCTCGTACCTTAACAAACCAGAAAACGTATCACACATCATTTTTCCAATTTTATTGATGGTCTAGTGCGCATGAAGGTACACCGAATCGGGAGAATGATGAAGGTGAATAATCTAGCAATTTTGTATATATGGAAAGGCACAAATAAAGGACTTTCCAATACTATAAATTATAACTAATTAAAACAGTAATTTAGGTTCTTTCAAGTTTCAAGTACTTTAGAGGGTGAAATAGAGAAGTATCGTAAACGTTGTCTTTAATACTTGTATAGTCTAGAGACGAGACTTATAATATATCCCTCTTTGTTTTTTTTTTTTTTAATTCTATCTGTTTCTTATGTCAAAAATGCTTCAGAGAATTTCTGGATATGGAAAGCTAGCTAGTATGGTTGGGATAATCAATTTTGAACGTTGGTCTATTTGCAATTAAAATTACTATTAATGACCGTGAAAAAGTTACTTCAAATTGTAACATTCTTCACTACTCATCACAGCAAATCCTATAAAACTTAATAAGTAAATTTAGTTTTTATTTTGAAAATAATTAAAAAATCTGAGTTCTTAGATATTATATTTTGCTCAGGTCTCTATTTTTATTACTTAAAAATCAATAATAATTAGTTAATCACTAGTCAATGCGATACACAAGCAAATACAATAATGTGGCTGGCAATGAAATTAAAATTTTGAGTATTTATTAAAATTTTCATATTTTTTATTCTAAAAAAATAATTCTTTAAGTCTAGACAGTTAGATTAAAATCTAAACCATCCAGATCTTTTCACCTTGGTGGTAGTGTTCATTCCAAAATCGGTTCCTAATCTGCAGTACATGTGTTACTAAGTGGCTCGTAAATGTTACTCCCTTCGTCTCAAATTATAAAATATTTTTAAAAATGATTTAGCGTCCTAAAATATAAGACACTTTGATAAAAATAAATTTTCATTAATAATACTTTTCTAAAATTACCTTTTCAATATATTCTTTCTCTTCAATATTTTTTTTTATTAATGAAGTATTAAATGAAGAGTATTTTTAAATATTTATATTTTTATCTTGAAAAAAATAAATTATAAAATATATCTAATAAATTTAATTAGTATATGAGATTTTGTTCAAAAGTGTATTGTAATCTAGGACCGTGGGATATTATTCAATTAAGAAGTCAAACTTGAACTTGTGGGGTCGGTACCTGAGAAAGCAGCCGTCGTAGACGACGCGAGCACCATGAGTCCCAGCGGAGCAGTTGCGGATCTGAACGGCAGCAACGTCGAAGCAGGCGACGCAGTCGGCGATGGAGAGGTAGTCTCTGCATTGGAAAAGAGAGGAAGCTGGGTTGTTCTGGTCTCCTACCTGCGACGTAGCGAAGTGCTTGTTTTGGTCCTTCACCTGCTCTCTCAGGTCTCGAAACGTTGCGTTTAGGTTCTCACTGAAGATGCTGAAGTTGGAGATCACGAATTCGTAGTATGGGCTGCACGCAGTGTACAGAAGATTGGTCTGTGGCTCCGAAACCACGACGTTTAGAGTCCCGCATGACCAGCACACGAAGAAGAAGAATAAGGGAAGGAGATTAGTAGATTGGAGCATGCTTTGTTAGAGAAGAGGAGGAGGAGGAGGAGGAGGAGGGGAGAGAGAGAGAGAGATCAAATGGCTTCTCTGGCTATGGATTCCTTGTCAGTAATCGTTTTTGAAGTTGACGGCAACGAAAATGAGTGATATTATGCGTTTGACAATCGTCTTGGATAAAATAAAATATTAGTAAAAAAATAGACACGTGTCCAAAGATGAGTACATACATCCATGATCTGTTTAAATATAATTCGTTACTATTATTAATTTACACCCCTTTATTTACAAGCGAGTCTTCTGTATTAAAAAATTATTGGATGATGGTAGCACGTTGTCTATGACCTTTCCAATAAAAAAATGTCACATTACACTAATTCAATCAAATACTCAATTTATTTAAAAATATAAAATATTTTTTAAAAAAATTAGATATTAAAAAATATAAGACATTTTTAATATTTTGATGTATAATCATTATCCTTTTTTAAAAGTATCCTATTAAATATATTATTTTATATTTATTTTAAGGTGAAACATCTATTAAATAGGAGTAAATATAAAAAGATTGGGTTAGTTTAAAAATAAGTAATTACATTATTGAAAGTGTAATTCGATTAAAAATGTTTTACATTTTTTAATAGAGATGTTAAAATTTTGTGTATCATTTATTTTTAATGATTTTAGTTTTTGAATAGAATGCCTCTTTAGCTTATTGGCTTTTCTTTCTCTGCTATTATCAATAATTTAATCAATTTATACTTACAATCATCTATAATATTTTTTTGGAGACACCATGGATAACTTGGTGCATCCAATTCATTTAAAAATTTCTCCTTTTGAAATTATGTAAAATTTCAAGGGGAATGAGACCACTAACCACAATGATCAAATCAAGGTTATTAAACTTATAAGTTTAAGTAAACTCGTGACAGAAATGTAAATTCATATCACAAACTCGGATCATAAACCCATAAGAATTTACTTCTGTTAATAAATAGTCATTAAAATATGATTGTAATTTAATTTAAATATATTAAAAATATAAATTTTTGAAATTAAACTCATCTACAAAGATAAATTTTAATATACAAGACATAAAAATTTTAAAATAGAGGAACTTATTTTTGGTATTTTTTTTTTTTTTATTAATATTGCTTTTTGTATTTCAAGTTTTTTTTTTCTTTGAACCAAGTCTTATAACTTTTATGAACTGAATTCTTCATAATATATACTTAACTCGCTCAACTAAACAAAATAATTAACGAGCTTAAGAAATTTAATCAAGCTTGCATCTAACTTGAGTTTATGAATTAATTGACATGATTTTGTAAGTTAGAAATATAAAAACGATAAATTTAAAGATAAACTAACGAGTTTAATCGATTTTATATTTAGTTTGAGTTTATGATTAAATTGACATAATTTTATAAGCTAAAAATATAAAAATATTAAACTTGTAGAGTTAACTTGAGAATTTGACAACTATAAATCATATATAATTTGCATTGATATTAAATTAAAGTAAAGAAACTAATTAAACGATAGAATATTAATTGCGTGATAATTTTTAGAGAGAGAAAGAGAGATGGTAAGGAATCTTTGCCAAAAAAAGGAGGTGGCAAGGAATTAAATATTCGAACTGATACGTTTTATTAATTAAGTGGCCCATATAATAAAATGTTGATATTTTATTTTTTCTGTATACCCGATAGTTCACATATAATCTATACCTTTCATGAAATGTTGTCATCATGAATTCCATGTATAAATAATCATCATGTCACGATAAAATGTCATTGTAATCAATGTTAATTAATAAATATATAACATACAATTTATAAAAATTTACATTATTAATAATTTATGAACATTGTGATTCGCTTAAGATTTGGAATAAATCATGTGGGCGACCCATTATGCAGCTTTCTCAATATAAATTAATTAGACAGTAGACTTATACTTTATATAAAGTTTAAGATAATATTAGAAGATGTGCTTATATTCAGTGTTCAATTGTATCTCAAATATGATTGCCTCCTATTAGAGGATACCTATGACTAACCAAAAAAAGTTTAAGATAATTGGCTACATAATGGATAATTTATTTGTGCAACTTGTTATATTTTTTATTATATATATAAACAATAAAAAAGAAAGAAAATAAAAGGTGTCCCTTCTGTTTGACAATATCAAGATTTGTTGTTAATCGTTTTCCTCTTAAGAATATCATCCTAAGTGAAATTCAGATGCTTTTATTAGTACTAACAACTATCACAAGTGGCAGGTGTGACCAAGACTTATAATAATGTAGGGGAGACCGTTACTGATTTTGGGAGGATAATATATTGTATCAATTAACGTGTTAATATTTTTTTTTTCCTATTCTCATTCTTATACAGATAGCTCCAACTGTGCGCGGAAGATTATACGGATTAATTTTGAAATATACTTTTAAAACATGAGATATTAATAGTTTTGTTTCCTTCTATTATAATATTTTTTGAATATTTTAAAACATACTAATTCAATTATGATTGATGTAATAAAAATTAAAAAATTATTTTTAAATTAATGTTTATTGATTTAATGATTGGTCCAATTTTAAAATTAAATCACTGCTTAATATATAGATGATAAGGCAGTGGGGGTAATGCATGTGTTTCTCTATCTTTTGTGATTTTCAAAATTCTAAAGAATGCAGCCGCAAATTATGAAAAATATATGAAAAGGAAGTTTGGGAAAGTCTTAGGATCCATCATCACTTTAATTTGAAAACTAGTTGTTGCATGTATAGTGTGAACTTGGAATTCTACTTGGAGGGAGAAGATATGAATTCTAAATCTCTCTCCCCTTTTTGCTTCCTAAATCATAAAATATTTTTAAATAAAATTTTACATATCAATAAATTTTATTAAATATATTTAACAATATTATTTTTTAAAATAAAAATATAAAATTTTAAAAATATGTATCCTTTATTTAATAAATTGAAAAGAGAGAGGGATGGAGAATTAAATAGAAAAAAAAAGATAATATTAAAATAATTTTATTTAATTAAATTTTAATATTTTTAAAGTGACTCATATTTGAGAGGTCAAATCTTAACATTCAAAACATAATAAATTAAAGTTTAAATCTCACCTGTTAAAAAAAATATTTATATTTAATGTTTGACGGTCGCTTGAATAAAATTTCCTTCCCAAACGTGTGAACAATGAAAAAATTATCATAGATAAGACTATTCAATGCCAGCAATAATTATATTAGAGTGAAAACGAACTTGATACTCTTTTACATGTTCGATGGTGATTTTAATTTTGTTGATGAAAAAAACCATATTATGACATCTACATTTTTGTTGTTGTAATGCATAAATTTAACTAGTATGTCTGGCCAAAAAAAAAAATTATCTAGTTTGTAATATTAGATATTAATATAAGGAAAAGATTATATATTTAATGGTGCCGTATATTGCACGCAAGCATTTATTTATGACAGTAAACGCAATAAACCAAAACCACCATCAATCCATCATTATTGTCTCCCTCCATTGTTGACCAGAAAGATGGGAGATAATGTTGAGATCCACATATTCGAGACGTGGAGCTGGGAAATCAAGTCATTGGCTGATATTTGAAAGCCATGTCATGTCACTGCTAAATGGGTTGTAGTTAAAGCTACTCAATTGAAATTCATTTTTATCTCAAAATATTCTAACAATAAAATGTCAACAATTTGAATGTATTGCTGCGTAGGGTGCTTACAAAATAAGAATAACTAAATGTTCATAGACCTGATTAAATGAACGAGTTGCCATGATTTATGAATAGTACAACATTTTATAAATTTTATATTTTCTTTATCTTAAATTATAAGATATTTTTAGAAAAAATTTTATATACTAATAAGCCTCATTAAATATACTTAATAACCTTATCTTTCCAAAATAAAAATATAAACTTCTCAAAATACCTATAATTTAATATATTGAAAATAAAAGTGAATGATAGAAATTAATTATAGAAAGAGAAAGGATAATATTAAAATTGATGCATTTAATAAAACCTTAATCTACTCAAAATATCTTATATTTTAGAACAAAAAAACTCTTTCAAAAGTATCCTATAATTTGGGACAGAGGGAGTATTATATATCTATATGTTGACAGATATCAGATTTAAAAAGTTAAAGTTCTTAATATTAATTCTACCTAAAATAAGTATAAGTGGAGAATGGTAAATGTATACTAGATTCATCCTGAACTAGCGACAATAATGGATTTTTTCTGTTGCAAATTTCAGTTTTGGTTAGAGATAAAGAAAGAAGTCCTATGTTTAGAAGACAGAAGATAGATTAAAAAGAGATAAAGTCTATGATGTATCTAATCAAATATAGCTTAAATCATTTTGGTGAAGTAAACTATCCTCAAGCATGCTTAATATGAAGAGTTTAATAATACTACTAGTACATGCATTTTTTTAAAAAATAGATGAATTGGATTTCGGCTAGCTCATTATCAGAGTTACGTGCTTCCGTGCTCATACAGTGTTTTCATCATGCCTCGCTCAAATGTTTTCCAAGCATATGAAGAGGGATCAAAGTAAAATAGAATAAAAAAGATAAGGGTGGTTATAGAAGAGGCAAAATAAAACTAAACATTTTTTTTAAATATTTTTTGTAAGAGTTCATAAATTAGTGTTGAGTGATTAAAACTTCCAAGATTTATTTGTATCTTAATTTCAGTTAGAGGAAATTGTTTTGGAACTTCTACTTGTTGATGGAGGAGGAATTCACATCTATGATTAGCACTAACATGCTTTAATTTATTTCTTTGGGTAGTGTTTGGATTGATGAATTTTAGATTTTAAATCTTGCATTTTAAATCTCACATATGAAATCTATGTATTTAAAACCTTTTATTTGGATAATCTAAAAAAATTTAAATGAAGAATAGAGATGAACTGAGATTCAAAATAAAAATAAAAATTTAAAAATAATGACAAGTTTATATATTTCTATTTTTGAATCAACAAGGGATGAGAAAATATATGAATATCATAAAGGTATTAATAGTAGA